TTGAGTCTGAAAGACGGTGAAGCTTTTCGTTCGTAATTAATTAATTAATTAACATCCGATTTCAAAACTGGGAGAAACTTTCGCTAGACATCTTGGATCTGAAAGACGGTGAAGCTTCCAATAATGTAATCATATCCAATTTCAAACCTGATCAGTTAACATCAGCCTCAATCAATCAACATCGAAACTAGAGTCGACTCTCAAGGTACGCCGGCCAAGATTTATATCTCTACCGGCTTACCCCGAGTAGAACGTACGGTCATTATAGCCGTATTTGGCTCACCCTTCAGTCCAGATGCAGCGAAAACGACCGTACGTTCTATTCGGGGTGAGAAGGTAGTCACAAAGAACAGTCTGGCGAGCCGTAGGCAGAAAGGGAGGAAAGGACAAGAAACAGGGGGCTGTCACAGACTGTTTCGTCGAAGTTTTCCCGATTCATCGATCAGGAGGCTGACCCTCTCACAATCTGCAGAGTCCCCAAACAGATGATAATGATATCTATCTCCCATCGTTTCTGCCAGAATGAACCCTAAACCCGAAATGCAAGAATGTGGCGATGGCGTTGCAAAAAGAAAACGCAGCCGGTAATAATAGTGGAACTAGGAACACATACTCACATTCGGTACTTTTTCAACTGAATTCGCCCGTCATTGAGCTCAGGTGCATTCAGTAAACTACTATACCGTGCGTATGCTCTATCAGTTCCACCCAGCAGAGTTGAATAAGAACAAAAGAAACCTCGAGGTTTAGCCTGGTTGGTTAGTGACCTGGCACACTTCTCCCAAAGACAAAAAACGACAGACGGAGTACTGACCAGCGACCGGAGGATGATGATGCATCCTCAGAAAATTGTCGATCGATGAAAAGGTTAAGACTTCAAATTTTCTTACATGCATAATGATACAGTCATTGGGTGGGGGTCAAAAAGAGAAAAAAAGAAAAGAGCATAGGGTTTACCATGACCGGCGACCGGATGATGATGATGCATCCTCAGAAAATTGTCGATCGATGAAAAGGTTAAGACTTCAAA